TTAAGAGCCTAATTGTTCCGGGGCTCAACACCCTAGCAACCCTAAGCCCCTAAACCCCTAAAGGGTTTAGGGTTTAGGGTTTAGGGTTTAGGTTTTAGGGTTTAGGGTTTAGGGTTTAGGGTTTTCCTTAAGGAAAACCCAACGAAAGCCCACAACATGCAAGCTACGTGCTTAAGCGAGGAAAACTCTGAAGACACTTAACCCACCTCCGACATCCTAATCCCCAAAAACCCTGAAAAGCAAGAAGTGAGCTTCTAACCCTACAACCCTAAACCCTAAAACCCCAAAACCCTCAAACCCTCTAACCCGAACTCAAACCGGCCCTAACTAAAACCCTAAAACCCGAACTACAACCCTAAAACCCAAAAAGCCCTCAAATCAGCATGCTGTTGGGGTTTGTGGGTGAGGGCTTCCTCCCGAGGAGGCAGTCAAGTCGGGCGCGATCGACTCAGGGATGCGTGGCAGCGGCTCAATACGTAGGGTCCAGGGTTTAGGGTTTTAGGGTTTAGGGTTCAGGGTTTAGGGTTTAGGGTTTAGGGTGTAGGGTGTAGGGTGTAGGGTTTAGGGTTTAGGGTTTAGGGTTTAGGGTTTAGGGTTTAGGGTTTAGGGTTTAGGGTTCAGGGTTTAGGGCTGAGGGCTGAGGGCTGAGGGCTGAGGGCTTAGGGCTTAGGGCTTAGGGCTTAGGGCTTAGGGTTTAGGGTTTAGGGTTTGGGGTTTAGGGCTTGAGGTTTCGAGTTCTAGGCCTTGGGTTTAGGGCTTATAGGGTTCGTTAAGGGCTTGTAGGGCTCATGAGGGTCGGAACTCGGGACCTAGGCTTTGGTGTTTGCTTAGGGTACGGGGCTGCTTGTCTAACATCTCAGGGTTGCGGGCGTTTTGGGTCTCGGGTTTCGGGTTTAGGGTTTATAAGGTTTAGGGTTCAGAGACCCTAAACCCGTGAACCTCCTTGCGGCCTACTGGCTGAGGGGTCGTGCATCATGAGGAACACTCGGGATGTCCATTTGCTCTCCATATACATCTCCTGAGCTCCACCGCAACTTCGTTGCTGAGTTCATAAGCCCCCAAAACTTAATCCCTGTTCCCCTAGGAAGAAAAAGGATCCTTTTGTTCATATATAAGAAAGCCCATAACCCAAAAAGTAAAAAGGATCCCTAACACTGATCTAGAAAAAGGGCACACTTTCAGTTCTAGGGGGGCGATTATAGTCTCCCAAAAAGTGCAAGGTGGACCCAGTCAGCTACGAAGACAAGGAGGTTCAGCTGCCGCGCGAACCATGCAGGCAGGAGCCAAAAGCATGCGGAATTCGCGATCGTTTTAGACTCCTCAATTACCACCGCTGCACCTCGTGCTAAATCGTCCATCCACCCTCTTAAACCCCTAACCCTAAACCCTAAACCCTAAACCCTTAACCCTAAACCCTAAACCCTAGCCCCCAAACCGCCCGCACCGTTCAGACGCATCCTTCCGGAACTCGCCCGCTGCAACTTAGCACGACCGCCTACTCCCTGGCAGCATGTTGGACTTTGTAGACCACCAAGTCGTCATCTTCAAAGTTTCAGAATGCTAGCAATAAGCTGTACCAAAACTGACGCAGAAGCAGCGCAAGAACAAGACGACGAAGAAGCCCAGCGTCAGGGGAAGCTCTCATTAAGCGCTCGATGGCATTCAAGGTGTAGACACGAACCACCTCGCTGATGTCGCCTTGACCGGAGGGGCTGTGTTGAGGGTTGAAGGTTTTTTAGGGTTTAGGGTTTAGGGTTTGGGGCTTGAGTGTGTTTGCGGCGTGCAGAGTCTTTTGAGCCTTTAGCGTTTAGAGGGCGTCGGGTTGAGAGCTCACGCCTTCAGAGGACTAACATACCAACTCCAAACTCTTCAGGGTCCAAAACTGCAAAAGAGGCCGAAACACCAAAACGCTCGAAACCTTCGAAACTGTCGGATTTGGATGCTCTAATCGTCTAAACCTGAAAAGCCGAAAACCCTGAAACCCTAAAGCCCTATGAAGCCTAAAACCCCGTAACCCTAAACGTTGAACCCTAAACCCAAAACCCGAAACTCTACAAACCCAAAACCCTACAAAGCCTAAACCCTAAACCCTAAACCCTAACCCCTAACCCTAAACCCTACAAACCCTAAACCCTACAAAACCCTACATCCTGGAACCCCGGATTTAAGGGGTTTAGGAGGTTTATGGGGTTTGGGGGGTTTAGGGGGTTTAGGGGGTTTAGGGGGTTTAGGGGGTTTAGGGGGTTTAGGGGGGTTTAGACGGCTTTAGGGGGGTTCAGGGGGGTTTAGGGGGGTTTAGGGGGTTTATCGGGTTTGGGGGGGGGTTGGGGCTTCGGGGTGTAAAGCTTCAAGCCCTCAGACCCCTTTGAGGGCCCAGGGGCGGCTGCGGAGCGGCACGATGGTTTCAAGAAGCTGGTTGCGGGCCACGCCCATCTCCTGCTTCGTTTAGGGTTTAGGGTTTAGGGTTTAGGGTTTAGGGTTTAGGGTTTAGGGTTTAGGGTTTAGGGTTTAGGGTTTAGGGTTTAGGGTTTAGGGTTTAGGGTTTAGGGTTTAGGGTTTAGGGTTTAGGGCCACCATACGACACCAGGATGTTGGCCCTCAGCCCACAGACCCGCCCGCAGGAATCCCTTACAAGCAAACAACAACCAAAATCCCAAACCCTAAGCCCTCAACCCTAAACCGTAAACCCTAAACCGTCCTTAGTGTGACTGGCCGCGGCGGCCACCTCTGCTGTCGGCTTGCTGTCGGGCTAAGGATGCGTCTTGGGGGGAGGGGGGGGGTTGTTTAGGGCGTAGGGTTGAGGGTAGTTTAGGATTTAGGGTTTAGGGCCCTAAATTGGGCCATGAATTCCCACGCGGCCTGCTTAGAGGGTGCCTGAACACCCTGAAGCTCTGGAGGCCTAGCTCGGGTTATAGGCAAAGAATGGGTGGACCCCTGCGCAAGCACAGGGTGGGGAAAAACAAAAGAACCAACATGCCTCTCTGGCTGTTGGTCAACGAAATGCCTGCGATCCCGGCCGACCCCAGCTACCCTTGGATGCGGTGGGATGCCATTTCCACAGCTCCTGCCGCTGCGCGGTGAGTTGCCCTAAACCCTCAATCCAAGCTAAGCCCTAAACCCGACATGCCAAACTTAAGCCCCAAACCCCAAGCCCTGAAACCTAAATCCTCGTTAAGACCTAAACCTAAATGCCAGAATTAAGCCCTGTAGGGCTCAACCCAGAACACTAAATCTCGCCCTGAGCCTCTCCAAACTGCGGCCACGCTGCATCCCGCTTCAGCTGCTGCTCCTGCCCAAGAAAAGGGTTTAGGGTTTAGGGTTTGGGGTTTAGGGTTTAGGGTTTGGGGTTTAGGGTTTAGGGTTTGGGGTTTAGGGTTTCGGGTTTGGGTTTGGGGTTTAGCGTTTGGGGTTTAGGGCTTAGGGCTTAGAACTTAACTTAGGGTTTGGGGTTTGGGGTTTGCGGGGTCCCAATCCCTCGCTCGTACAGGGATACGCACTAGGATCGAAGACCTACCTCTTTGGGGGATGCGAGGGGTTGAAGGTTTTAGGGTTTTGGGCTTACCGTAAACCCTCACCCCGAACTCTAAGCCCCAGCAGCCCTCTGCAATCTTAGGGTTCTTCGGGCTTGGGCTTAGGATTTAGGGTAGAGGTTTTAGGGTCAACCCAGGCGGTATGTAAGTGGGGGTCTAACGGGGTTGAAGAGGGTTTCAGGGATTCAACATTCGCTGGAGTTGAGGGCATCCAAAAGGGCACAGAATTCTGAGGATCATGGGCAATTCCAGGCAGATGTAGGGTACATACAGCGGTGGCTAAGAAGACGGTGATTCTGGCGAGGACCTAACTTGTGAACCCTCCCATATCTCAAACCGACCTGCCGCGCCTGCCGCGATCTACCTGATGGCCGTGCAGTGGCCAGGCTGCTTAGCTGGCGCTCGAGGGTGTCGTGGCTGCGTCCTTGCTACAGGCGCTTTGGGGATCGGACGCTTCTGAAGTCTGGAAGGTGGAAGAGGGAAAGGCCGCGTTTGGGAGAAACCCCTTCGGGAACGTGGGCGTTCTGTCATGTGCAGCATGACCGGGGTTTCGGGGTCCATAGGGCTTATCAGGGACCCAACGGTGCTAGGGTTGACTGCACAAATCCTCAAAGAAGCTCACAACCAGGGCTTAGGGGAAATCATCATCGGTCTCGAAATCGATTTGGGTGGCTTTGGGTCATGTGCGTCGGCTGCAGGGGGAGCTTGAGGATTCTGGCTTTGCCATGTCTTCTCTAGGAGCTTTGAGGAAGCTACCCACCGAACTCAAGACCCCCCGTAGGCCTTATAATCATGATGATGGTCATCATCATCATCATCATCATCATCATCATCATCACTACCATGCTGATAGTGCCACTAAATTCCCCCTGGCCGCAGCCCCAAGCCCCGTACTCTCTTCTTCCGCTGCATCTTCTTACTCTCCTTACTCTTCTTGCTCTTCTTACTCTTCAGAACTCTTCTTACTCTTTTTACTCTTCTTACCTCTTCTTGCTCTTCTTGCTCTTCTTGCTCTACTTACTGTTCTTATTCTTCTTACTCTTCTTGCTCTCCTTACTCTTCTGCTGGGCTTGGAGGCAAGAGAAGTTGGACCTGACCACAGCGCGCTAGGCGCGCTTGGCGCGCCCGTGCATCACATCTTGAGGTCGGCGTGACACAGAAAGAACATAGGGGAACTGCTGTCTGACGTTAGAGAGAGCAATCCCCCGCCTAATAGTGTAACAACAACCAGAGACTCTCTGTCGCCCTCTGTCTGTTCTCTCCCTCTCTCTCTGCCTCTGTGTCCACAGCTATACATTCCTTCGATTGTTTTTATTACGTATATGATCTATACAAGCCCAAGAACTCCAACCACTCCAGACCCAGAACCCTCAGCCCTAAACCCCTAAACCCTAAACCCTAAACCCTAAACCCTAAACCCTCAGCCCCAAACCCCAAAACCCTGAAACATTGAACCGCGCGCCCAGCAGCGGAGCGCTTCGACCTGGTAGCCCAGCGCCTGGGGTTTATGGGTTATGGATTTAGGGTTTAGGGTTTAGGGTTTAGGGTTTAGGGTTTAGGGGTTGAGGCTTCGGGCCTCCGTTTCGGGCCTCTGGCGGATTAGGGTTTGGGTTTAAGCTTAGGGCTTAGGATTGAGTTTCAGGGTTTAGGGTTTAGGGTTTAGGGTTTAGGGTTTAGGGTTTAGGGTTTAGGGTTTAGGGTTTAGGGTTGAGGGTTTAGGGTTTAGGGTTTAGGGTTTAGGGTTTAGGGTTTAGGGTTTAGGGTTTAGGGTTTAGGGTTGAGTTTGGGGTTTAGGGTTTAGAGCTTCAGCAAGCCAACGTGTATCACTCGGCCCTCGTGCTGCCATCCCGACCTCAGCAACTGCAAGCGCTGCCACCGTCGCCACATGCCGCACAGACCGGATCTGCCTCAGAAAGGACAACGAGGTGTTGGTTCAGGGGTCCGAGCTGTCCACCCTGTACGTCCTGAACCCTGAAACCCTAAATCCCCAAAACGAATCCTTCCTGAGAACCAGAGCTCAAAACCCCTAAACCCTAAACCCTAAACCCCTGAACCCACTACCCGCTGATCCAAGCCTTGGCAGAAGAGGGTTAAGAAGGGTTCCCTTTTAAGGGTCCCCCTTATCCTACCTAGGATCAAAGCAGCGGAGCTGCGAAACAACAAAGTGAGTTTAGGGTGTAGGGCTTAGCAATTAGGGTTCAGGGCTTAGGGGTTTCGGGTTTAGGAGTTGGCCAGCGAAGTAGAGGTAGGCCTACGTAGCTGCAAGATTCTTCAGGCAATGCGCGTGTGGCGCGAAACCTCCCACCCCAGCACCGCTGGTTCTAGCCTTCGGGCCCCGGGCTTGGACTGAGCGCTTGTCGGCTTCAGGGTTTCAGGGCTTCCCTTCACCCTAAACCCTAAACCCTAAACCCGAAACCCTGAACCCGAAACCCTGAACCCGAAACCCTAAACCCTAAACCCTAAACCCTAAACCCTCCAGAAGGGTGCGCTGTGGGGCCCTAAACCCCCAAACCCCAAGCCCTCAACCTCAGCATTCCTCCTGGCCTTTCACTCTAAGAATGATTCACCATACCCCAAACCCATACCCCTTAGCCCATAAAAGGGAGAATATGGGGGAGTTTAAGGGAAGATTTTACCATACCCCTGAGCCCAAGGGGTATGTTGAGTAGTTCTTAGATTCACCTCTGATCACAGCTCAGTCGCGCATTGGGCAGGATCAAAAGCCACCGGGTCAGGGACGCCTTGAATCAGTCTCAGGCGTTAGGGTTTAGGGTTGAGGGTTTTGGGTTTTTGGGTTTTTGGGTTTTTGGGTTTTTGGGTTTTTGGGTTTTTGGGTTTTTGGGTTTTTGGGTTTTTGGGTTTTTGGGTTTTTGGGTTTTTGGGTTTTTGGGTTTTTGGGTTTTTGGGTTTTTGGGTTTTTGGGTTTTTCGGTTTGGGTTTTTGGGTTTAGGGTCAGGGTTTAGGGTTCAGGGCTTTGGGTTTGAGGGCTTGGGACGCGTGTAAACCTTCCGCCCTCTCATCCCCAGACCGAATTCGAGGCAGAAGCTCCCCAATGAACTCCGACCAGTGGCTTGGTAGAAGCGAACTGCTGTATACCAGGCCAAGACGGAAGAATGTGTGCCGTTCTCAACTGTAGCCTTCTCCTGTTGAGACATGAGACCTAAACCCTGAACCCCACGCCCTAAACGCTAAACCCTACACCCTAAACCCGCAAACCCTAAACCCCAAACCCCTAGACTCCTCTCTTCCACGGAACTTCAAGAAGTACAAATTCTGAAGGGTTTAGGGTTTAGGATTCAAGGGCTTTCGGGGCAGAGTCGGTTTGGAGAGCCTACAACTGTGAACTTCCTGGCATGCGTGGTACATCCACACCTGAATTAGCCCTAAACCCTAAGCCCCAAACCCTAAACCCTAAACCCTGAACCCTGAACCCTAAACCCTAAACCCTAAACCCTCCGCCTTACCCAAGGATCCCGAGACTCCGCATTTGCACCCAAAGTACCACAAGCTGGCTCTCGAGAAGTGCAGCTCCATTCCTGAGGCGCGCTGTAAAGTTCGGGGTGTGGGGTTCGGGTTTGAGGTTTAGGGTTTAGGGTTTAGGGTTTAGGGTTTAGGGTTTAGGGTTTAGGGTTTAGGGTTCAGGGTTCAGGGTTTAAGTTTAGGGTCTAAGCTTAGCGTAGAAGGTTTAGGGTTCAGGGTTCAGGGGCTGAGGGTTTAGGGTTTAGGGTTTAGGGTTTAGGGTTTAGGGTTTAGGGTTTAGGGTTTAGGGTTTAGGGTTCAGGGGTTCGGGGAGCCAGGATCTTTAGTCGTAGAAAAACTCTTGGGCTGAGGGTTTCGGATTTAGGGCCTTTCGGTTTAGGGTCTAGGGTCTAGGGTCTAGGGTTTAGGGTTTAGGGTTTAGGGTTTAGGGTTTAGGGTTTAGGGTTTAGGGTTTAGGGTTTAGGGTCTAGGGTTTAGGGTTCGGAGGCTTTGTGGGGGACAGTCCCAAACCTCAGGTCTTGCATCAAAAGTTCCTGTTTCGGGCTTGAAAGTGTTGGGTTTGCACGGTTGAGGGTCCAAAGCGCTGCGTCTCGGGCTTAGAGTTGAATGCTGAGTTTAGGGTTTAGGGTTTAGGGTTTAGGGTTTAGGGTTTAGGGTTTAGGGTTTAGGGTTTAGGGTTTAGGGTTTAGGGTTTAGGGTTTAGGGTTTAGGGTTTAGGGTTTAGGCCTCAGGCTTCAGGATGCAGCCTTCAGCCTGCACCCTAAGCACGCGTCCCTTCATCTTCGAGAGGTCAAGGCTCTGCTCGCCGATGCCCTGGGAGATGAACTTCTCCAAGTTCGACACCGACCGCTTGCTCTGAGAGATGCCTGGGCTGGCGAGTTGAAGTTTGGGGTTTGGGGGTTTGGGGGTTTGGGGTTTGGGGTTTAGGGTTTGGGGTTTGGGGTTTAGGGTTTAGGGTTTAGGGTTCAGGGTTTAGGGTTTAGGGTTTAGGGTTTAGGGTTTAGGGTTTAGGGTTAGGGGGCTTGGCTCTAGGGTTTGCTGTAGGGCATCAAGACGAGCTCCCACACAGTCTCAGTATCGTTCCTCCTGCCTCCCGGTTGGGCTCAAAGCCCAAACCCACCCTAAACCCTATGCTCTACATACACCCTAAACCCTAAACCCTAAGCCTTAAACCCTGAAACCGAAACCCTGAACCCTAACCCTAAAACCTAAACCCTGAACCCAAACCCCTAAACCCCAACCAGGACTGTGGCCGAGCGGCTGGGGAGCAAGGGGTAGATGGAAGGATCGAGGTTGTTCGACTTCACCCACTGTGGCAGCTGGATCCTCAGATAGGACTGTGCCTAAACCCTAAACCCTAAAGGGGCACTTGGGGTGCTTCTCAGCCTTAGGAGGGGATAAGGTTCAGGTTCCAAGCTTCAAGGAGAGTTTGGGGTTTAGGGCGTAGGGCTTGGAGCCACAAATCCCTAAACCCCAAATACACCCTTCAACCGAATCCCAAGGCCGAACGTACATGATTGCCCCCAGCCGAACCCTACTTGCATCCTGCATGGCTCTGTAGACTGTACACCCCACCTGACCCACCACTGCCGTCTCAGAACCCCTAAACCCCTAAACCCCTAAACCCCTAAACCCCTAAACCCCTAAACCCCTAAACCCCTAAACCCTGAAACCCTTAAACCCTTAAACCCTTAAACCCTTAAACCCTTAAACCCTTAAACCCTTAAACCCTTAAACCCTTAAACCCTAAACCCCTAAACCCTAGCCCTAAACCCTAATGTTCTAGGGTTGAGGGTATAGGGGCCCACAAACCCCCAAACCTCATACCCCTGTACCCTCTAGCCCATGCCCTCGCCTCTTGCTGCATTCATGGTTTAGGGTTTAGGGTTTAGGGTTTAGGTTTTAGGGTTTAGGTTTTAGGGTTTAGGGTTTAGGGTTTAGGGTGCAGGGTTGAGGGTTGAGGGTTGAGGGTTGAGGGTTGAGGGTTGAGGGTTGAGACCCCTTGCTTGCAGCCGGCAAACACCATCTTGGCAGGATCTTCCTGCTAGTCCGAATGATGCATGGGTCGAGGGGTTTTAGTTAGGGGTGTAGGGTTTTAGGGGTTTAGGGATGAGGGGCTGTCGGGGTGTAGGGCTGGGGGGGGTTTTTTTCGGGGTTTAGGGGTGCAAGGTTTCAGGGATTTAGGGGTGTAGGGCTTTCGGGTCTAGGGATGTAGGGTTTAGGCGTGTAGGGTGTCAGGGATTCAGGGGTGTATGGTTTCAAGGGTCTAAGGACTTAGGGGTTTAGGGGTGTAGGGGTTTTAGGGGTTTAGGCCACAACCCTAAGCCCTAAACTCCAGCTTCTTCGAAACCTCAGCACTTTGACCAACATCCAAGTCCTGCACGCGTAATGCAGGGCCCTATGTTCACTTGAATAATCTGAATTTTGGGCTGTGTGTGTGTGTGTGTCAGGACGCTTGACTAGGTTTGGGAGGTAGCGGTGCTTTAGGATTCAGGCCCAAGCCCTACGCCCTCAACGTTCCCAAGCCCCAAGCCTGAAAAAACCCTAAACCCTACACGCTAAACCCTAACCCCAAACCCTAAATAGACCCTAAAACCCTAAACCCTAAACCCTAACCCCAAACCCTAAACCCTAAACCCTATATACCCCGCACCCTAAACCCTAAACCCTAAACCCTAAACCCCCCTACACCCTCCCCGGCCTCCAGATGGTCGGCCACCACAGCTTGGGGTAGACCCGCCAGCCGGAAGATCCTCGAGCATGGCTTCTCGGGTTTAGGGTTTAGGGTTTGGGGCTTGGGGTTTAGGGTTTAGGGTTTGGGGTTTAGGGTTTAGGGTTTGGGGTTTGGGGTTTAGGGTTTAGGGTTTAGGGTTTAGGGTTTGGGGTTTGGGGTTTGGGGTTTGGGGTTTGGGGTTCGGGGTTCGGGGTTAGGGTTTGGGGTTTGGGGTTTGGGGCTTGGGGTTTGGGGTTTGGGGTTTAAGGTTGAAGGTTTATAGGGCTGAGGGTTTAGGGGATTCAAGGTTTAGGTTTGAGGGTTTAAGGTTGAGGGGGGTTTTGGGGGCTGTAGTTCAAGGCCAAAACCCTCGAAGTGGAAGACCCTCATGGGACCTCAGGTCGGAAACTTGGCTCGAGGCCTTTGATTGGAGTCTGAGCCGCAGAAACAGACAAGGAAATTGCAGCACCGCCTCAGTACCACGCCTAGCACAAATGGCTACGCTTCTAGATGAAAGTACTCGCTACAGTTGTGAACCTGCAATCCCAGAACCCTACAGCCCTAAAACTCCAAAACCCCAAAGCCCCAAAACCCTGAAGCCCTCAACCCTCTTTGGCCAAGCGTCAAATCCAAGATCTCGAGCAGTGCAGCAGTCAGGTCCTGGCTGCATAGGTACGCCCAGTCCTGCGAAGAAAGCTGCCCCCAAACCCCTAGAACCCTAAACCCTAGAACCCTAAACCCTAAACCCTAAACCCTAAGGCTCCAGAGCCGCCAGAACCCTAAATCCCCTAAGCCCCGACATCAGCCCGGAAGCACTGAAGCATTCTCCTTGGCCCAAAGAAATCCTGCGGCCCTAAAGACTAAACCCTCAAACCCTGAACCTCAAACCCTAAACCCTAAATCCTAAACCCTAAACCGTAACCCGAAGCTGCAAACCCCATCAAACCTCAGGCCTTCAGCCACAAAGGGGCGGGGAAGTGGAGTCCAAGGTTTATGCTTCAGGGTTTCGGGTTTAAGGGCCCTAAACCCGAAACTCCTGAACCCTAAACCCTAAACCCTAAGCCCTAAACCCTAAACTCCTGAACCCGAAGCCTCCTCAACCCTGAGCCCTGAGAGTCCCCAGCAAGCCATCAACCCCCACGGACGCCACAAAGCCCCAACACCCTAACCCCTCGAACCCCCTTGGGGGCTACATTGGGGCGACTTAGGTATATAGGTATATATGAGGGTCAATTAGGCGTCATATAGGGGAATAGGATTAAGGGTCCCTTCTAGGGGTCCCTCCCTATATCCCTTAGTCTCCTGTGCCCGGAGTTTCACATCCTTGCTGTTGCCATAGAGGATCTCATGTGCCAGGGTTCCTTGCGGAAACTCGCAGGTGCGGGCGTTTAGCTTAGGGCTTGTGGTTCCCTAAACCCTACACCCTAAACCCCAAAAGCCTTATTTCAGTCCAACAATACAAGAAAAGATAAATCTTCAACTCCCTAAAACCTAGACACCCGAAAAACCCTAACCAGCCGTAACACTCAAAAAACCCAACACCCTCTAAACACCTTAAGATCCCAAAAAAAAAACCGAGGCACCCCAAACAACTTAAGCCCCAAACCCTGTACCCTAAGTCCCTAAACCCTAAAGCCCTAAACCCTAAAAGCCCTAAACCCGAAAAGCCCTAAACCCTAAAAGCCCTCCCTAACCCTAACCCTAAACCCTAAACCCTAAACCCTAAACCCTAAACCCTAAACCCTAAACCCTAAACCCTAAAAGCCCTAAGCACCCTAATGCCCTCGGGTTTGCTTGGGGCTTGGGCTTTGGAGGCCCAAGTCTTCAGGGCGACTCCGAGGAGCACAGTTTAGGGTTTAGGGTTTAGGGTTTAGGGTTTAGGGTTTAGGGTTTAGGGTTTAGGGTTTGGGGTTTAGGGTTTAGGGTTTGGGGTTTAGGGTTTAGGGTCTAGGGTTTGGGGTTCAGGGTTCAAGGTTCAGGGTTTAGGGTTTAGGCTCTCGGGGTTAGGGTGAGCCTACGGTTGAGGTTTAGTGTTGAGGGCTTTGGGTTTCGGGCCAGCTGGGTGCTCGCTCGTTCGGGCGTGAAACGCCACAAGGCGCTCGCTCCAGCTAAGCTGCGATATTCCTTCCCTTTGGGGGTTTAGCAGTTGTGGTTGAGGTAGAGTTTAGTGTTTAGGGTTGGTTGCAGAGTTCACCGTACACAGGCTCATTTGTGCCGAGAACGCACAGACTGGGAAAGAAGTTTCTGTCGCAGTGCCGCTTGCAAACTCTAAACTCTATTGAAGCAGCGAGAAGCCCTGCGCCAGCGTTTGAAGCCCCAAAGAAGCCCTCAAAGGCCAACCCCCAAACCCTGAACCCCAAACCCTTCGAGCTGGACTACTGATAGAAGAGTCTCACCCCCATTTAACATCCTCCGGCCTTTTGTTGGGGCGTGCGAGCTCCCAGGGGCCTGGCCACCAGAGAAGCAGGTGGGGAGACTGTTCAGGGACTCGGGATTAGGGCTCGCAGAGTCGGCCCATCAGCTAAACCCTAAACCCCAAACCCTAAACCCTAAACCCTAAACCCTATACCCACTTTCTTACCCTGAAGACCTAAGCTTGCATGAAAAACAACAGCGCAGGCGAAAGCCCTAACCCCTTGAAACCCTAAGACCCTAAGCTAGTGGGCCCTAAGGCCCTGAACCCACTGACTGCAAATTTGGTGCTGAGGGTTTAGGATTTTGACTTCAAGGGCAAAGGATGGCCTTCCGAGAAAGTTCGAAGTTTGGGGTTCAGCTTGCTGAGGTTTGGGGTTTGGGGTTTAGGGTTTAGGGTTTAGGGTTTAGGGCTTAGGGCGTAGGGTTTGGGGTTTAGGGTTTAGGGCTTAGGGTTTAGGGTTTAGGGTTTAGGGTTTAGGGTAAGATGCTGATCCGAAGGACCTGAAGCCCATCCCTCCAGGCCCTTGCCTCTGCCACTTCCAAGACCTGTTCTGGTTCTGCCTCCGAAGGCACAAAAGAAGTTTAGGGTTTAGGGCTTGGGGCTTAGGATTTAGAGTTTAGGGTTTAGGGTTTAGGGTTTAGGGTTTAGGGATGGTTTAGGCTTTAGTGTTCAGGGATTAGGGCTGAGAATGCCGGGATCTCAGTACACCAACGCTTGGGCCAAAGGGCTTCGGGTTCAGGGGTTGAGGGAGCACTCCTGCGTTGCGATGTTCGGACCTTTGAACGGTTTTAGGGGGTTTGGGGTTTAGGGTTTAGGGTCTAGGGTTTAGGGCAGCAGCAGCAGCAGCAGCTGCTACCCATGCAGCTGTCAAGGGGTGAAGGGGTTTAGAGGATTTAGCGGGTTTTGGGGTGCTGCCAAGCCCTGGGCTTCACCCACCCCCCACAAAAAAAATAAAAAAAAATAACAATAAACAATTAATAAAAATGAACATAAAACATAAAATAAACAAAATCAACAAAAAAAAAAAAAAAAAAAACAGAACCTCTCGACCCGAAAGCCCTAAACCCTGAACCCTAAATCCTGAATCCTGAACCCTAGAAGCGCAAGTTGCAAGCGCGCCTACACCCATTTGGGAGCTAAACTCATCCGGGGGGCTTACGAAAACAGGGGACCCCTAACACAGACCCAGTGGCCCCCAAATAGTAGGATTCCCTAAGCGCTAAACCCTGAACCCTAAACCCTAAACCCTAAACCCTAAACCCTCGGAAACCACCAATTTGGGAGCCTGTGCCACAGCCGCCATGGCCGAGGTTCATGAGCGCTCCGCGGCGTCAGCTCTTGTGCAGCAAGCTTATGGGTTTGGGGTTTGGGGTTTGGGGTCTAGGGTTTGGGGTCTAGGGTTTAGGGTTTAGGGTTTAGGGTTTAGGGTTTAGGGTTTAGGGTCTAGGGTTTAGGGTTACAGGGTTTCGGCTAGGGGTGGGGCCTGCTAAGCTTCTAAGCCGAGGTCGGGCGGAGGCGCGTCGTTAACGTTGAGGGTTGAGGGGCCTTCGGTGTTTGACCCTAAACCCTAAACCCTAAACCCTAAAACCTACGGGCCCATGCCTCAGAACCCTTTGAAGAAGAAAAGGAACCTATTCAGGAAACAATGTGACCACCCCTAGACCCCCCTGGACCAGTAAAACAAAGACTTGGCAAAATCATGGCAGATTGAATATTAGGGCTCAGGGTTTAGGTGCTTGGGGGATCCCAAATCCCTTTGTAACTCAACAATAACCCCCACACGCTGAGCTATATCCTACACCCCAAACCGAAAGACCCTGCAGGCGAAAGAGGACTTTTTGGCCACGCTGCTGCTTCCAGATTGGGCGCAGGAGATCTCTCATCTGTGCCCGTTCTGTTTGGGGTTTAGGGTTTAGGGTTTAGGGTCTAGGGTTTGGGGTTTGGGGTTTGGGGTTTAGAGTTTGGTTTTGGGTTAGGGCCTAAGGCCTGAGGCTGTCAACGAGGAGAACAGCAGAAGTTGAGCCGACCTCGATGCGAAATCCACGGGAACACCCGGAGATATGCCATCAGCGGGGGGGCTTTTTTTCGCTCGAAACTATAAGTCTTCTTCGGAAGCCGCCGCCCGAAACCCCAAACTGTACAAACCAAAAACCCTAAACCCTAAAACCCCCCTAAACCCTAAACCCAATGAGGTACTACACACCGGGGTCACCACATCGGTGAAACGACTGCCAGCCACCACGCTTTGCTCTGTGGCGGGCTTCAAAAATTTTGCAAAACAGGCTCGCAGGGCTGGGCCATGGCAAGTCGCCCTACTACGCCGCGGGTTTTTGTTCCAAAGTGCTCGAAACCAACCACTCTGGATCCCTGAACCCTAAACCCTAAACCCTAAACCCTAAACCCTAAACCCTAAACCCTAAACCCTAAACGCTAAACGCTAAACGAAGCCCGAGTTGCTGCCGCTTCGGGCTGGCCCTCGTGGGGTAAGGGCGGAACTCGGTGCTCAGAAGGGTTTAGGGTTTAGGGTTTAGGGTTTAGGGTTTAGGGTTTAGGGTCTAGGGTTTAGGGTTTAGGGTTTAGAGGCTTCAGGTTCAGTTTAGCATGTTCATCCCAGCATTCCCAAAAAAACCTGTGCCACCTCAAGGGATACCTCTAACTAAACCCGAAGCCCAAGTACGTGCACCCTCGCCCTTCCCGCGGACCCTCGATGCTCTCATCCAAGGAAGACTCCCTAAACCCTAAACCCTAAACCCTAAACCCTAAACCCTAAACCCTAATTCTAAACCCTAAACCCTAAACAGTGTTCTCATGCAAGGAGAGCTTCAATCCGCGAAGCGGCGCCGGCCGCGGACTCCCTCGTTCATGGGACCGAAACTAGCTTAGGGTAGGGAAGTTTGGGGTTTATGGTTTAGGGTTTAGGATTTAGGATTTAGGGTTTCGGGTTTAGGGTTTAGGGTTTGGGGTTTGGGGTTTAGGGTTTAGGGTTTGGGGTTTGGGGTTTGGGGTTTAGGGTTTAGGGTTTAGGGTTTGGGGTTTGGGGTTTGGGGTTCGGGGTTTGGAGCTAGGGGTGAGTGCAGGGTTCGACTCTCAACTAAAACTGGCTACTTGATGAGATACACGACGAATGAAAAATCGAGAAGTAGCCAGAAAAGCCGATAAGCAAGGAAAAGCTCAACCCAAAAACCCTAAACCCAAAACCTGCACTTGGAGAACCCCCATCTAAGAGAACCCTCCACCCGCAAACCGCACGCCCGAAATCGCTTTCAAGAAGCTTCAGCCGGCTTAAGCCCCAAATTCTCAATCCTCAAACCCAAGCCCTGGTGCCCCGCAACCTTTGCAAAAACCCTCAAACCCTAAAACCTAAAACCCCCCCAACCCCAAACCCCTAAACCTCTACATACCTCAACCCCTAAACCCCTAAACCCCTAAGCCCCTAAATCCCTAAACCTCTGAACCCCTAAGCCCCTAAACCCCTAAACCCTAAACCCTAAAGCCTAAACCCCTGAACCCCTAGACCCCCAAACCCCGAAACCCTAAACCCTAAAGCCCGCCCAGGGCCTCTCATCCGCATCCTCGGTCCAGCATGCCTGGAGCTGTGAGATTTAGGGGTTTGGGAATTGGGGTTTGGGGTTTGGGGTTTAGGGTTTAGGGTTTAGGGTTTAGGGCTTAGGGTTTCGGGTTTAGGGTTTAGGGGTTTAAGGTTTTAGGGGTTTGGGGTCTTTGGTTGTAGGGTTTTCGGGGTTTAGGGCGTGGAATTTAGGGATGTAGGGCTTTAGGGTTTAGGGTTTAGGGATGTAGCGATTTAGGGTTTAGGGGTCTAGGGTGTGGGTTTCGGGATGTAGGGACCAGACGAGACATTCCCGATTGTCAAGCGCAAGGGCCGGGGTATGGGCGATTGTAGGCCAAGGGTCTCCCAAGCCCTAGAGGTTTCAGGGTTTGAGGTTTCGGGTTTCGGGTTTAGGGTTTAGGCTTTAGGGTTTAGGGCTAGGGTTTAGGGTTTAGGGTTTAGGGTTTTGGGTTTTGCGTTTTGGGTTTAGGGTTTAGGGTTTAGGGTTTAGGATTCAGGGTTCAGGGTTTAGGGTTTAGGGTTTAGGGTTTAGCGTTTAGGAGTTTCGGGAAGCCAGACCGTTTCCCCACATGACCATGGCCTGCATGATGGCACACAAGTGCTCCCGATGTTCAGCACCTTGGGCGGAGGGCCAACGAACCGGCTTCTTGGGGTTTAGGGTTTAGGGTTTAGGGTTTAGGGTTTAGGGTTTAGGGTTTAGGGTTTAGAGTTTAGGGTTTAGGGTTTTAGGGTTTAGGGTTTAGGGTTTAGGGTTTGGGGTGTAGGGTGCAGGGTTAGGGTTTAGGGTGTTGGGTTTAGGGTTTGGGGGACGTAGAACTGGCTAGACATTGCCACCTCAAAGCCACCCGTTTACGACTCGAAACGAGCAAATCGGAGCCAACCAAAGCTAGCACCAGCCAAGCCCCTAAACCCTAAACCCTAAACCCTAAACCCTAAACTCTCTCTTCCCATTCAAGTGAAGATTGCGAACACTCGGGCACCAACCGTATTCAGATTTCGAACAATCGGCCAGCAACCCTACTCACATGTCGAACAACCGGGCACCAAGCCTACTCACTTTGTGAGCCGCCGACACAAGGCTTAGGGTTCAGTGCTTAGGGCCAAGGGCTTAGGGTTCAGGGCCCAGGAATTTAGGGTTTCGGGTTTAGGGTTTTAGGGTTTTAGGGGTTTAGGGTTTAGGGTTTAGAGTTTAGGGTTTAGGGTTTAGGGTTGAGGGTTTAGGGTTTAGGGTTTAGGGTTTAGGGCTCCGGGACCAGGAGTTTAGGGCTCAGGGCTCAGGGTGCAGGGGATTCAGGGCGTAGGGTTTCGGGGTAAGGGTCTTAGGCTTGTTTGAAGATATAGGATTTAAGCTGGATTAAGGAAATTCTTGTACTGTAAAGAGTCATGTAGAACTTTTTGTTTTCTGATTATTGTGGGGTTCTTCGCGCGGGTGGGTATTTTTCCAACGCTCGATACATTGCTTGACTAGTGAATGCTTGGACTTGAGGTGCTGGACCCTGAACCCTGCAATTTGGTCTCATCGAAGACAATCGTGTCCAAATCGCATCTGAATTGCAAATCGCTTGGAAATCAAGTTTGAGAGTTGAAGATCCCCGCTGGTGTATTCTATGCCGAAGAGGTTTTTCCCGTTCAATATGCTCTCTAGTTCAAACTGGTGTCCGAAAAGGGTTCTTTCGGACATCAATTTTGGCCTGGGACACCCTAACCCCCAAACCCTATAAACCCTAAACCCTAAACCCGAAACCCTAAACCCTAAACCCCAAACCCTAAAACCTAAACCCTAAACCCTAAACCCTTGAATTTCGATCAATCCTCATGTAGGGTCCCACGCCGAAGTCCTCCGACACCGGCACCTCCTCCAGGGCAGGTCGCTGACCTTGGGTCGCTTGTGCGCAGAATGATGTGTGGGGGGGGCGTTTGAGCTTTGGGCTTCTGGGGTTTAGGGTTTAGGGTTTAGGGTTTAGGGTTTAGGGTTTAGGGTTTAGGGTTTAGGGTTTAGGGTTTAGGGTTTAGGGTTTAGGGTTTAGGGTTTAGGGGTTTAGGGTCGGACAGGCTGCGAATCCCTAGAACCGACGACAACATCTCCCCAGGCCTTTAACAACATTTCCACCTTCCTCGACGCCCTGGCGAATTAACACACGCTTCTCATTTTAAACGGGTGTTGCATTGGAGTGTTTCGGCCTTTCTTGCACGGCCTTTTGTCCTGCAAATCTGGTTTCGAGGTCTCGTCGACTGTTGGTGCCGCTGTTGGACCCTTAAGGTTGTACCCTTGGGTTGCTGGGACCCTGAGGTAGCATGAGGGCCATAGTAGGAGCGTGTTGCGGGGAGCGTGTAGGGGCACAACCTTACGGGTACGAGTTTGAAGGGGCTTGAGCACAATAGGCCCTTCAGTTCTAACATGTACGAGCGTCACCTATACGCACTAGACACATGCTCTACGTGTTCCTATCCGATAGAATCGCAGCTTCCTCGCAAGCACCCCCGTAAACCCTTCACCGAGAAACCCCAAGCCGCTGAGGCCCCAGCCACTCATGATTGCGAGGCACAAAGACGCCTCGTTCCTATGTCCGTAGGGCACCACCCCTGGCTTCGATGTGGGTTTAAGGCATAGTGCTTTTGGGTTTGGGGTTTGGAGTTTGGGGTGAGGAATCCGTTCCATCTTGGGGCTTTGGGGTTTGGGCTTTGGGCTTTGGGCGTCCCTAAACCCTAAACCCTAAACCCTAAACCCTAAACCCTAAACCCGAAAGTTTAGGGTTGAGGGGTTGAGAGGTCGAGGGGCTGAAGGGCTTTTGCGTTCTTAAGAGGTTGAGGTTTTATCGGCTGCAAGGGGTTGAGGGGTTGAGGGTTTAGGGTTTCCGGCATAGGCCTCAGGATTCGTCAGATACGCGGGGCTGCATGCGAACGGTGATGCTCGCCGACAGACAGATCCACTGTCAGGATTCGTCTCTGTAAGTCAGAAATCAAACCGCCTAAACCCTAAACCCCTAAGCCCCCTAAACCCTTAAACCCCTAAACCCCTAAACCCCTAGACCCCTAAACCCCTAAACCCCTAAACCTCCAAAAAAGTTCCCTTATAGAGGCCCTGCTAGCCCTGAGCTCTTACCTCCTTCCGGCTGCGGCTGAGGGGTTTAGGGTTTAGGGTTTAGGGTTTAGGGTTTAGGGTTTAGGTTTAGGGTTTAGGGTTTAGGGTTTAGGGTTTGGGGTGTAGGGTTTAGGGTTTAGGGTTTAGGGTTTAGGGTTTAGGGTTTAGGGTTTAGGGTTTAGGGTTTAGGGTTTAGGGTTTAGGGTTTAGGGTTTAGGGTTTAGGGTTTAGGGTTTAGGTTAGGGTTTAGGGTTTAGGGTTTAGGGTTTAGGGTTTAGGGTTTAGGGTTTAGGGTTTAGGGTTTAGGGTTTAGGGTTTAGGGTTTAGGGTTTAGGGTTTAGGGTTTAGGGTTTAGGGCAGGATAAGAAACCCTAAACCTTAAACTACTGTAAGGTTCCTGGTAGGTGTCCCTCCCACCCCTGAACTCTTAACTCGTTCAGGGTCTACAGGCTAAGATGGACAGGTTTAGTGAGGGTTTGCGCCTGAAGGTTTTAGGTTTAGGGCTTAGGGTCTAGGGTTTATGGTTTAGGGTGTTTTTTGTGCTTCGGCCTGGAGCGTCACATAGTTTTCATGCGGATATAAACCACCCAAAATGCCCTGGGCCTCTACATGATGGGCTGTTTTGTGGGGCCGCTGTGATTTAGAGAGCTCAGTGTTTGGGTTTGAAGGCCCCAGAAGTTTAAGTGAGTTGAGCAAGTGGCGCTTTGGAGTAATCTACTCAAACTCGGCTTGTCCGCTGTTTAGACAAATAGCTTGGGAAATTCTGCATGGCACCACATACAATTTCTATGTCTTTTTTCTTAAGGGTCTAGGGTTTGGGGTTTAGGGTTTATGGTCAAAGCCCCCCTAAACCCTAAACCCTAAACCCTCCAAAGGGAAGGAAGGGGGGGGGGGGGGGGGGGGAGGAGAAAGGCGTCCGGGAGGTTGCTTGAGGCGCCCCTCCCAGAAGGCCACCGAAACAGTCCCATGAGGCCAAGGCCGGCCCGTGCAAAATTGAAATTAGGCTCAAAAAAACTCGCTAAAAACTGGAAATTAGGCTCTAAAGAAACAACTCGTTTCAAAACCGTTGTTCAAAGCATGTCGTCCGCGACTGTCGCTCAAAACGGTCGTTCAAAAAGGTCGTGCGAGACGTTTCGATCAAGACGTTTCGTTCGAAACTTGGCGGGGCCCAAACCCTATGCAACCAAATTCGTCTGACTTGACATGTTAGATGTTGGGAGCGCCTCTTGCACCACGTTGCAACGTTTCGCGCCCGCCACGCGAACCATCCAAAGTCGTCAGGTTTGATTTATGAAATCTTCACGTCCGGCCACGTTTCGTTTCACTCTCAGACATGTGATTCAATGACTGTGAAAGAGTAGAGTCTAAAGGAGCAACCCGCTCAATCCGTTTCGTTGAAAACGTTTCGTTGAAAACGTTTCTTGAAAACGCTATTGGGAGCCAAACCCTATACAAATTCCATAAACCCCAAACCCCAAACCCCAAACCCCTAACCCCAAACCCCAAACCCTAAAACCTAATCCTACGGCCGTTCACGCTGCAGCTTTGAGCGTGGAACATATTGAAAGAACCGGCGTCGAGCTCTTTAGGGAACACGGCACCACCTTAGTATAGGTAACCTGAAGCCCCAAAGCCCTGGTACAAGGGTTTAGGTAGGGTTTAGGGTTAGGGTTTAGGGTTTAGGGTTTAGGGTTTAGGGTTTAGAGTTTAGGGTTTAGGGTTTAGGGTTTAGGGTTTAGGGTTTAGGGTTTAGGGTTTAAGGTTTAGGGTCTAGGGTCTAGGGTCTAGGGTCTATAGGGTTTAGGGTTTAGGGTTTAGGGTTTAGGGTTTAGGGTTTAGGGTTTAGGGTTTAGGGTTTAGGGTTTAGGGTTTAGGGTTTAGGGTTTAGGGGATAGTTTTTGGTTGACTTGTCAGCGGCTCCGGCACCAAGTTCAAGGCTTTGGGGTTTAGGGTTTAGGGTATGACTCATCAGTTCCCCCACACCCCTTAACCGTAAACCCTGAACCCTAGACCCTAAAGCTTGTAAACCCTGAACCCCTGAACCCCTAAACTCCCAAACCCTCAGCGCGAGATCCTCGACCCGAAAAGCAACCTAAACCCTAAACCCTGAACCCGAAACCCTAAACCTGCAAGTGCAAGTGCCTGAGACAATCTCATGTAGAAGGATTCCGAAGGAGAAGACGTCAGCTTGTACTCCGTATTCACCTGGGCCATGGCGCGACGAAGTTCACTTTGGGTTCGAGGGTTTAGGGTTTAAAGTTTAGGGTTAGGGTTTAGGGTTTAGGGTTTAGGGTTTAGGGTTTAGGGTTTAGGGTTTAGGGTTTAGGGTTTAGGGTTTAGGGTTTAGGGTTTAGGGTTTAGGGTTTAGGGTTTAGGGTTTAGGGTTTAGGTTTTAGGGGTTAGGGTTTAGGGTTTAGGGTTTAGGGTTTAGGGTTTAGGGTTTAGGGTTTAGGGTTTAGGGTTAGGGTTTAGGGTTTAGGGTTTAGGGTTTAGGATTTTTAGGGTTTAGGATTTTTAGGGTTTAGGGTTTTTAGGGTTTAGGGTTGAGAGTTGAGGGTTTGGGGTGTGGGGTTTAGGGTTCAGGACTGAAAACCCCAACCGAAGAAAATGCGAAATACTCCCAGATCCTAAATAAGGCACATGGTCGGGGGAATACGTTCCGGCCACCCAGTCCCAGGTTAGGTATTGTAGGGTTTAGGAGGGTTTAGGGGTTTAGGGGTTAGGGTTTAGGGTTTAGGGTTTAGGGTTTAGGGTTTAGGGTTTAGGGTTTAGGGTTTAGGGTTTAGGGTTTAGGGTTTAGGGTTTAGGGTTTAGGGTTTAGGGTTTAGGGTTTAGGGTTTAGGGTTTAGGGTTTAGGGTTTTAGGTTTAAGGTTTAGGGTTTAGGGTTTAGGGTTTAGGGTTTAGGGTTTAGGGTTTAGGGTTTAGGGTTTATTTAGGGTTTATTTAGGGTTTATCTAGGGTTTAGGGTTTAGGGTTTAGGGTTTATTTAGGGTTTATCTAGGGTTTAGGGTTTAGGGGGTAGGGGTTAGGGGTTAGGGGTTAGGGGTTGGGGTTAGGGCGGACGTGGCCTCTGCTTGCTTTCCGAAGGTTGGTGTTTCCTTAAGGGTTCAGCCTTCAGGCTTAGGGTTCGAAAGCACTAAACCCCAAACCCAAAACCCCAAACCCCAAACCCCAAACCCTAAACCCTAAACCCTAACTCTAAACCCTGAACCCTAAACCCTAAACCCTAAACCCTAAACCCTAAACCCTAAACCCTAAGCCCTAAACCCTAAACCCTAAACCCTAAACCCTAAACCCTAACCCTAAACCCTAAAACCTAAACCCTAACCCTGAACCCTAAACTCTTCAACCCCTAGCAAAACGCTAAACCCCTAGCAGGCACGCTCACTGACCCTAAACCGAAACCTCCCCAAACAATCCTTAAGTCTGCAGCCAAGCTCGCCGCCAGGCAACACAGACCATGAAGTTCAAAATGCAGGGTCAGGGGCGTAGGGGTTTGTGATTTTGGGGTTTAGGGTTTAGGGTTTAGGGTTTAGGGTTTAGGGGTGAGGGTTTAGGGTTTAGGGGTTTAGGGTTTTAGGGTTTTAGGGTTTTAGGGTTTTAGGGTTTTAGGGTTTTTGGGTTTTAGGGTTTTAGGGCTTTAGGGCTTTAGGGTTTTAGGGTTTCAGGGTTTTAGGGTTTTAGGGTTTTAGGGCTTGGGGTTTAGGGTTTTAGGGTTTTAGGGTTTTTGGGTTTTAGGGTTTTAGGGCTTTAGGGCTTTAGGGTTTTAGGGTTTCAGGGTTTTAGGGTTTTAGGGTTTTAGGGCTTGGGGTTTAGGGTGGGCTTTAGCTGAGAGTGTCGCCGGAGTTCAAGACTTCCGGCGCCATGTATCGCAGAGTGCCCACGCCCTGCATGGGACGCTTCGCTCTGGACTCGGGCTTGTTTGATAGGTTTTGGGGTTTAGGGTTTAGGGTTTAGGGTTTAGGGTTTAGGGTTCAGGGCTTAGGGTTTAGGGTTTAGGGTTTAAGGTTTAGGGTTTAAGGTTTAGGGTTTTTGGTTTAGGGTTTAGGGTTGAGATGTATTTTGGGTTTAGGGTTTAGGGTAGAGGCCGTTGGGCTTCAGGGTGGAAGATGCGAGGATGCGCCGTTTCCGGGACTGATGCCTTACGGGACTGAGGGGTGCAGTTCCGCTGAGGAAGGCCTTGAGTTCTTCCATCGCACGCTTCATAGGCTTTGGGGTTCAGGGTTTAATGTTTAGGGCTTAGGGTTTAGGGTTTAGGGTTTAGGGTTTAGGGTTTAGGGTTTAGGGTTAAGGGTTTAGCACCCTCAACCCTCTCAA